CTCTCTTGGCCCCTGCTCAGCCTGCTTTCTTATGTAACACAGGCCCACCTGCCCAGGGGTGGCACCACCCACAGTGGGCTGGGCCCTCCCACATCACTCATCAAGAAGATGCCCTTCAGACATGGCCACAGGCCAGTCCAATGGAGGCAATTCCCTGATTGAGGCTCCCTCAACCCAGGTGTGTCAAATTGACACTAAAGCTATCCAGCACACCCAGCATGGAACTGGGGAAATGATCGTCAGGCCCCAACCACAGGCAAAAAACACTTGTCAAATGCTAATTGTGGGGTGAGGGAGAGTAGATCTTTTAAAAAATATTTTATTATTTTTATTTTATGTGTATGAGTGTATTGCCTGCATGTATGTGAGTGCACCTGTGTCATGCAATACCACGGAGGTCAGAAGAGGGCTTCAGATTCCCCTGGAACTGGAGTTAAGGATGGTTCGCAGCCTCCATGATTTAAGGGAATTAGTCTAGATAAGCTGACCAGACTCCAGTGGATGAATCTGTACCAAGGGACACCTGGATAGAAGTTCTTGACTCTATAGGACTTAACATATGACAGAATACATGCAATCTGGTGGAGCTTTATGAGGTACAGGGAGGATGTCCAAATTCGATTAAGATGTATTATATGAAATGAACAAAAACTCAATAGAATACTAAAAATGAAAAAAAAGAACACCGATTTCAAACCTCTGCTTCCTGAGGCTCAGGGAAGAGGTATCGGGGAAGACTAACAGTCAGAGCTGGTGGATGACCACAAGGAAACAGAGTTTTCCTGACAGGTGGTAGTTACCCATCTGAACTCACAGCAATGGTGATGGCATGCATGAGTTGTATGCAATCTCTAACCAGACAAAAGTCCCAGCATAGACATGGAGGAGTGGGTAAGAAATCCCAACCCAACCTAAGGAACTTTTGGCAAGTGATGAATGCTGGGATGGGGAGAGACAAGGTCTTACACGGGTGGAACTCTTGGTGGGCCCAGTGGGTATGAAACAGCTCAGGAAACACCCTCTTGTCCTGGGCTGGGACCTGGCTCCATGTTCTGCCTGCTCAGGCGTTTTTTGCAGTCACTAGTCTTCCCAAACAGCTGCAACTGATTTGGGGGCTATCCATGGCCCTGACTATGGCCTACAAATATAACCAAAATAACTCCAGGATGTATAATCAAAAGAATGCATAACCAAATTACTATAGCAAGGTCTTTCTGACCTACATCTGCCTCAACTGTCTTTGTGGTCTTTGTGGGTTTTGCTTTTATAAACTCTGGACCTTTGGACTGATTCGTTTCTGAGGCACTAGCCACCCTTGGATAAGGCTTGGTGGTAGTCTGTAATTCTCTAGTCTGGGTATAACAGGTGGACCCACACTGAAGGACATTTGGGGACACAAATCAGACTCTATAGGCTGCAAAATATATAAATATATATATGAGAGTACATTAAATTGAGCGGGAAGCAGGTGGGAAGGGTGAATATGGGAGGGAATCTAAATACCATCAAGCTGTGTTGTATGGACACTGGAGAGATGGCTACGTGGTTAAGAGAACTCACTGCTCTTGCAGAG